GAAAGAGCCATATACTAACAACCATGATGATAGGATTAAATGGGATTATTTTTTTAACCTGCCGTTAGTCTTACGCCTAGAATTTAGCAGCATTGAAAATGTAGTATTAATGCTTTTCTGGAGGCCACTCTCTTTAAAAATGAAGCTCTCTTTGGTCCCATAAGACAAGGAAATGCACCTTGCATTTGAAATACAAGACTCTAAAACTCTTGGTTCAGAGGTGATACCCTTTCTTAGACCACATAAAAAATAGCAAAAAACTTTCTCTCTTTGCAAGCTTTCAGGCGCGCACACCCTTCTTCAGGCTGAAGAGAAATCAAAGATCGTCAAAGTCCTCTTAGGTAGAAAATAAACTTCATTTTGCACAGGGGAAGGTGAGGCTGGCTGTATATTCCCCTGCATCTGTGAGAGTCCTTTTGTGTGAGTTGCTCTTTGATGTGCGGATCAGGCTGTCGGTCTTCCCTGGAGGTGCCAGAAGCAGGCATGGAGGTGCAATCTTTTTCAATCTTTTAAAAGCACAGGACTTCTACAATCTTTGATTTCCTCCTCAGCCTGAAGAAGGGTGCATGTGTCTGAAAGCTTGCAAAGACATTTTTTTTTTGCTATTTGTAGTTGGTCTAATAAAAGGCATCACCTCTGAACCAAGAGTTTTAGAGTTTTGTATTTCTCTTTATCTCAGACCAACACAGCTACAAAACAGATCCCTGCAATTGAATACTTTTGGACCTGCTTCAATTTCCGCATGAGACTTTTCTCATGGCTGCTGGTGGAACTAGTCACGGACATGCCCCATTTGTGGGATCAGAGCCTATAAGGCAAAGAGGGATTTAGATGCCTACGTCCCACTTTTGGCACCTAAACCCAACACTTGGGCATTGCTGAGGGCTTCAGGATCCCCTGCTCAGCTACCACCGAACCTTGTGGCATCTAACATCCCATAGGTGCCCATGTTCCACCAGTAGGAAATGCATAGCCCCCGCTGTCTCGATGCTCAGCATGGAGAGCTGAGGCCGGATTCATACACTAGGTGGTACCCAGGCCAGAAGGACACATGTAGCTCCCACAGGAGAGTGCTTAGGAGGGGATGGGTGAGGAGGAGGATGCAGTGGTGGTTATTTGTCTTATCCATCCTGGCACTGCTTAGGGCAAGCTCACGGGAGTGAGAAACTTTGGTTCAACTCCCTGTGACAGCACCTGAGTCCTTTGTGGGTCTAGCCTGGCAGGGCTCCCATGGAGGCTTTGTGGCACATTGCACTCGGCTCTCTGGTCTCCACTAGCGGCTGGGATGCACGTGCCCACCGGGCCGAGCCTGCTAGCCCGCTAGGGCTGCCAACCCTCCAGGATGGCCCCGGAGTCTCCAGGAATTAGATCTAAATCTCACTGCTGAGAGTCACCCAAGAGACAAATGATAGGGCATTCATTAACAGAATTATTAAACGTTGAATCTGATTTCTACAGTAAATGGGGTAGCAACATGCCGATGTAACGACTCATTTATATCATGACATCGTGTGATGAAACCTCTGGGAACTGATTTGAACTAGGGTGGCCATCAGAGGACAGTCTGGTTTTCTGCTACTCTGTCCTCTATTGATATGAAACCTGATGATTTTATGTCCTCTATTTCTCTCTTCAAGAGAAAAATAGAGGACATAAAGGCACTGGGTTTCGTATCAATAGAGGACAGAGGACAACTGGACTGTCCTCTATGATGGCCACCCTCATTTGAACAGAGCTGCCAACCCTACAGCCCAAGCCATGGAGGCTCAAGTTGTCAGACCCACTCATACCTAGGGGTGCCAACCCTCCCAGATTGGCCGGGAGCCTGCCGGCATCGATCTCCCGGTGACTATTGAAAGCGATGTGGGAGACTGATATTGTGAATGGGTTGAACAGTACAAACGAATCACGTTAGGTCATGTTGGGGGGAAACCTCCTGGAATAGCTTCAGAGTTGGCAACCCTACTCCCATCCCAAGCCTCAGAGAGGCCAGTGTGGCCAGTAGGACGGCCATCATAGAGGACAGTCCAGTTGTCCTCTGTCCTCTATTGGTGCGAAACTGGATGCCTCTATTTTTCCCTTTAAGAGAAAAATATTTTTCTTTTCTCGTGATGAGAAAAATAGGGGACATAAAGGTGTCGGGTTTTGTATCAATAGAGGACATGAAGGCGTGGGGTTTCATATCAATAGAGGACATAAAAGTGTTGGACTTCGTATCAATAGATGACATGAAGGCGTGGGGTTTCATATCAACAGAGGACAGAGTAGCAGAAAACCAGAATGTCCTCGATGATGGCCGCCCTAGTGGCCAGGCAGTGGGATCACTGGCTCCCCGGGGAGATGAGGTGACATTACTCGCGCCCCAGTGTGGCCATGCGGGGGGACGAGGTGACACGCCCAAGGCCATGCAGGCAGCAGAAGCAGAGCGGATAAACCTCCAGCTCACCCCACCCCACCCCCCAAACATCCGGCGGGCTTTAAGACCCAGGGGAAGGCGAGCGAGCGAACAATGGGGGAGCGCAAGCAGCCAATGAGCGCGGGGAGCGTCCCGGCCGATTTGCATGCCGGC